ACATTTGACAAGGAAACAAGATAGCTACCAAGGGTGACGTAGGTATTCTTCATGGTACGAAAACAGTAGAGGCGCCTTCCTGGAAAAGAAATACAGGATCTTTGATGTTTTGACGTATGAGTTGAGCCAAGATTCCAACAGGCTGACCTTGTTAGACAGAAGAAATAAGTAGGCATGGCAACCTGTATCCTCCTCTCAAGACAGAGAACTCTCTAATCAATTAGCTATCACCAGGCACAGATTGGCAGCATAATTTTAAAAATCCATTCTTAGTGGTGTTGCATGTATAATAACAGCAAAGGACACTTAAGAACCTAAAGAAACATATATACAACACTATACCTACATACCTAAGTAGCATGGTTGCAGAACTGATTCACCCAAAGTTCTTATTCCAACTCTCCACCCTCTCAAACCTTCTTTCAAAGAGGAAATGAATTGGTCAGCCCTTCAAGGTAGGCCAGATCAGGAAACAAACACCTGCAAAGACTGTCAGGACTCTATCATTGTAGGGTACAATATCAGAATCTTGAAAGCCTGCCAGAATTTCTTTATGCTCCCTCTGATACCGAACAGAATCAAGGCAGGGTTATTTTGAGTCTCTTTCTCACACTCCCACTTTTCCTGGGGCTGAGATGCCATTTGCTCTCTCTTTTGTGTGCTAATGGCTCTTGCATCTCTTCACCAGTGCTGCTTTATTCTTCAGTGACACTCTTAGAGCTAGAACACGGGGTTCTTGTGCTCATTTAATTGAGAAGCAGCCGGGGGTATATGTGAATCCCCAGTCTTTTACTGTACAGTTTCACCTAGCCATCTCTGCCTTACTATGCTTCCATTCCGTCCCAAGGGAAAACTGCAAAGGGAATGCTTTCCTCCCCCCACCCCAACATTGGGCAGTACAGGCAACCAGAAAACAGCACTCACAGTAACTTCCGCTGCCATCCTAGAACAATACTTGGAAAGGAGCTCTCAAGTACCTGAGATTAAAGTAGAAGGCAGCCTCTCCAGTCACGTCCTTAATAACTTTCTCCTCTTTTCATATAAAAACTTATAAACTGGGAACCTCTGCAGGCAACATAGAGACTTAGAGGGGACACCTTTGACTGGCAAGTGAGGGTCAAAATTAGCAAGGTGGCAAATTTTGCCGTCTTTTTAATCTATGAAAGTACAAAAGAGACAGAACTCGCATTGCAATGCACCATCCTCTGTCTTGCTAATTTTCATCCCCCTGTTGCCAGTGCTGCTGCCTCTGGCTTAAAGATATAAGTAACTGTAATAATACTGCATCAGACCTGAAACTGTATATTTACTTTCATCAGTTCTGAGTGGTTCCTTTTGCTCTCTCCCTCCAGTACTCTTCTACCAAATGTACCCTAAAGATTTATGTATGTATGTATGTATGTATGTATGCCGCCCATCTCACTGTACACGTGACTCTAGGTTCCTTGTTGATTGATGGGGGAAGAAGACATTTCAAGCATGCAAGGGTTTTTCAGTGCAGAATACTTCTGCTTTTGGGCGTGGTTGTTTGCTCTGAACAAAAGACTAACCCTTTCAACCGAATGAATCCTAGGTTGACATACCTTGACATCTTCCCTAACATATGCTCTTGATTTATAATGGACACACACCTCTTGGCAGTAGGGAGGGAGAGAAAGAGAGATAAATACATGGGGTGTGTAGAGAGAAATTCTATATTCTGCTCCACTTGCATTATGGAAGTTTGGGTTAAATCTTAAATGTGCTTCAAATCATTCCTTGAAGAATCAGAAAGAGGAATGAGAATGGATCCCAATTATAAAAGAAAGTTACATCTCTTGTACAACATCCACTCACCTCCACTGGATACACATCTTTAAAAGAAAAGGGAAAAAAAAATAGGGAGGTACAATGAGTCTTTTGGCCACATGGCATTTTTATACCCTAAAGAATTTCTTGTTATTTTCCCTAGAGAATAGTTGCAGATTAGAGAATTCTGCTCTGTTGAGCAATTACACAATTAGCCAGGGGTTTTAAATTGTATTACAAATACCCAACAGATTTGTGAGTCCTATTTCAGGTGGATAAATTAATTATAGGATGAAGCAATTCAGGTTACTTTCGAGCCGTGGATACTGGGCCAAGAAATCTCCTTCTTGTACTGTTTCATAATCCCACTGTTTGTTTGGGAAAATTAAGAGAAGTTTCTGCTAGTCCTTTTCCTACTGGCAACATTTCTTAGATCAGCCTTATGATTGAACTGATTGTCTTTGGGGTTTATTCATTTTAATCCTACAGGGACCTCCCAATAGTGCATACTGATATATTTAAATTTTTGTACTACTTATATTTCAGTGTTGATTTTTGATGCTTAGATTTCAATGTTGGTTTTTTGATGCTTTCTTCCATGTATGCAACTATGTTAAGCCATCCTTTGAAGTGTTTTGTCCTAGAAGATCGTCTATGAACACTTAACATCAGTAATAATCAGCATCTCAGTTTTAGCTTAATGATAACTCTGCCAGGTAGGTTTGTGGGAACAGCAAACGTTAGGACTGAATGGGGGTTTGAATCTGAGCCTTTCACAAGGCTGAACTATAACCCTTCTGTTTTCATACTGTCAATGCACACACCACCTCTAGGAAGCCTACCGGGTGTGGAATGGACAATCCCATTATAACCATCATTAATACTTCTTCCACTTTCAAAACCTAGTGTGCAGAGGAATACAACTGCAAAAATCTGTTAATTTTGTTTAGTCTCAGTTCCTCATTTTTAGGGCTTTTTGCGTACAAGAACCTTCTTTTATATTTGCCCTAAAATGTATATGCCTTTTTTTGTTGTTCTTGTTTCTCCAAATGTACACTTTTTTATGTGCAGTTTTACCAGTGTGTACACAAGTCAGTGTTTTGGCAAGCAAATTAGTGTCCCTGATGGAACAGTGTTTCTACAGTGCTTTCACAAATGTATCATTCTGGTCCCCAGGATAGTTTTATTTTAATTGGCAAGATACACTGTGAAATGTAGAAAATTATAACTTTTAGAGAACAGACCTGTGTCTCATTCTGAACATGCAAAAATAGATAAAGGACATATTAAAATGCAAACTAAACTAAACACATTTTTTTTTTCTTGGCTGTAAAATGTAGCTTGGAAGGTTAGCGAGATGGTACCTGGTCCCCTTTTAAGAGATTGTAAATGTAAGGTTGGAGACCATCTGTCATAGTCCACAGTACAGCTACAACCATATTGATTTTGAGAAGTTATTCGTGCTGATTTATTCTGCCATTCCTCTTCTATGCAGACACGTTTTTTTCCCTTCCTTTAGACAATGTTCCGGGAACACATATCCCTGGAATTCCATTTCACACCATTTTTTTCCTTGTCCCAGCTGTAGATTCCCCTGGTCATTTCAAGGCTGATTAGCCTAAGTGATAACATGCAAATATAATACCATCTAAGAATGACTGTACTTGCATGTAAGTGGCATACCACATTTGCTAAGAGGCAGATGGTGCGGAGATATGTGACAATGGCATTTCAAACTGAGAGGGATGATAAAAACCACGTTCTCACCAAATTATGTCTTCACAGCAAGCTTTTGAAGCTGCTACAAGACTGTGCTTTCTGTGAATAACGGGCCGGCACCATGGTTGGCAAGGGCATTAAGATGTATAGGCTGAGGATCATCTTCAAAGCAGGAATCCCTACAGCCTCTGTTCCTTGCTGTTGCTAAGTGTGATGAGAGATTGGCCCTGTTAGGATTAAAGTGTTGGATCAGAGGACTCTTGCAGGGGGAAATAAGCAGAGTGCAAGTTGATCCATTGTCCCCTCAAGGCCTAAGGTAACTGTGTTTGGAAATCCTCTTATCCCTGGAACCCTGGACTCTGCCTTAGTGACATCACTATGAACTCCTTTTATCTTCTCCTCTACAAAGATTGGTTGGGTGGATTGGGATTAAGGGCAAGTAGCAAGCAAACAGGTCATCATTACAATGACGGTAAGAAAAGAGAGAAGGACCCATTGAACTGTCTTGACTAAGATTCTCTCCTCCAGACCCAAAAAACGGAAGTCCTGATCTTGGCACTCCTGAGGCCAGCTGAAATCCAAGTGCCCTGTCCATGCATTTAAAATTGCCACTGTTTTGCCCAGGACATAATATAAACTGGGTTGTGTAAGGGGGATCAGCTGCATGGTAGGGAGAAACCCAGGATGAAAAAGGCAAGGGGGCCTTCCTAAGGGGATAGAGACAGCACTGCCAAATCTGGTCAACATAAATAACATGCCAGATATGTTTTCAGTGATTTATGCGCCACTCCTGTGCAAGCTTCCCTAGAAATAAATACTATGAAACTGCATGGGATGTGCTTCTGAATAGCAACAAGGAGGGTCTGGTAGGCATGATCTGACAGCTCTTTCGTTTAGTAACAAGTTCCTTTTGGCCAATTTAAAAATCAGCATTTTAGGTCTGTTAATTATCTTTGTTCCTTCTCCTTCATTGTTCAAACTGCTGGGAAAGAGGCAAAGGTTTGGTTCTGAGTGGGCCATTGCATAGAATGCTTCCATCACCCTTTCCTTTTTAAACTCTACAGGTAAAAGTGCTGGAATTTGATTTTTCTTGTGGAAACTGAGTATTCAAGCAAAACGCCTGGAATAATTTTGTAGGAAAAATAGGCACGCCTATGTGGTCCATTTATAACAATGGTCTTGAAGTTGGGTAATCCAGGGTTTGACAAAAGGGATATCCCTTTTGTGTATTAAAATTCTGTGACCTGGAACATGCAGGCCACTGCTAACCCATTGAGCAGTTCAGTGGGTTAGTCAAATCACGGTTGTGCACATCATAGCTTTGTATAATGTGTGAATCCCACTTATGGTTCTAATTTCCTTGTCTCCAGCAAATGTCTGATATTGACAGCTATTCTCAGTCTCCTTCTCTCTCTCTTTCTCTTTGTCTATGTACCTTTTCAGGCAATTATATTTCTCACATCCTGTTAACCTACATGCTGCCTGCAGTGAGAAATGATACAACCTGACACCTCTAGACACCTAACGCTCAAAGGAATCCTGGCCGACCTTCTGCTCATCCTAAATGAAATTCAGTCGGTGCCCTTGAGAGGATAAATGCTCATTGCAATCCAGAGGACACCATCTTGCCAGGAGAATGTCCTTTCCCCCACTCGGCCTGCAAACCCACATTCCGATGGATGGTGGACGGTGGTGACACCATGTAGAAGGTGCTGAAGGGGTGTCCTAACTGAGTTGCAATGGTTTTATACACTTCCCCATTTCCTAACGGCTTTCTTTCTGCACTGCATTCCTTCTCCTGGGGCTTAATCTTTCCATGCTATTGGCTCGGGGACCGGCTTGTGGCCTCTTTTGTGCCTACCACCTACGAGAAACGGCAAAGGGGAGATGACCCATGTTACTTCCATGCTCTTTGTGTCATCATCACCACCCCCATCTACTTAGCGCTGCTGGTGGTTTCCCTTCCTTTTGCCCTGATCGGGTTCCTGTTATGGTCCCCCCTCCAGTCAGTGAGACGCCCATACATTTATTCCAGGCTACACGACAAAAGCCAGCTCAACGGAAGCACCTTACTCACAGAGTGGAAGGCTACCAGCAATGGGAAAAGCTTTTGTTTTAGCAGTGCCAACGTCTGCTTGCTCCCAGACTCCTTGGCGAGATTCAACAATGTTTTCAATACACAGGCACGGGCAAAGGAAATTGGGCGAAGGATCCGGAATGGGGCAAGCAGGCCTCAGATCAAAATCTACATAGATTCTCCCACCAACACATCGATCAGCGCAGCAAGCTTTAGCAGCCTTGTTTCCCCTCAAAGCGGAGATGGCAATAACCGAGCAGTCAACACGGGCATTAAGAGAACCACATCCATGGAGTACAAAGGAGACAACTCTGGTTCTAACAATGAAGATGGCAAAGATGCCAAAGCTGCAGGAGATGCTGGTGATGGAGAAGATGGCAACACTTGCATTGTGCGCATAGGTGGAGAGGATAATGGCCATATTTCAGACCTAGAAGCTGATGGGATGGGAAGCCACATGAATAACAGCAAGGGAGCAGTGAACTGTTCACCAGAATCAGAAGCTGAGATCCTGAAAGGTCAAACATCCAACCCTAAGCAAAAGGAAGGGGATTCTGGGAGCCTGGATAGCTGTACTGCCTCACGAGAGTCCCTGGTGAAGATGCGCTCTGGAGATGGGCCAGTTGACCAAAGCACCGTGAACAGTAAACTCCTCTACAAGGCCTCACTTATGAAGAAGACCTCTGTGAGGAAAAAGAAGAATATGGATGAGCCCTTTGACCACGAGATCTCTGCTTTCTTTCCTGCCAACTTGGACTTCCTGTGCTTGCAGGAAGTGTTTGACAAAAGGGCGGCAGAGAAGTTGAAAGATCAGCTCCATCGCTATTTTGAGTACATTCTGTATGACGTTGGAGTCTACAGCTGCCACGGCTGCTGTACCTTCAAATTTGTGAACAGTGGCCTGCTTTTTGCCAGTCGCTACCCAGTTATGGATGCTGCCTATCACTGTTACCCCAACGGAAAAGGAACAGATGCCTTGTCTTCAAAGGGTGCCCTGTTTCTCAAGGTAAGAGACCTTCGTTGTACAGAATAGATTCCCGGTCCTTCAGGGGTGTGTATGAGAACAAGGGATGGGTGTACTTTGCAAATGCAGAATTTGCAGGGTAGAAACTTAGAAGGAAATGTCATGTCCCCAAGTATGGAAGCTCACTAGAATTCAGAAAATGGAGAGATTGGATTCACACAACATGCTAGAGTAGATTAAGATACAGTTCCTGCTTTTGGAGACAGCATGTTGTGGGAACCCAACCATTGTCTTAGCATGTTATGTGCACCAGGCCATCAAATTAAGACACCATGTGGTTTATTTTGCGAACATAGCATATTATATGAGCACAGGGAGCACTGGGTATTGTGTTCACCCAGCTTTAGGATTCAGCATATTGTGTGAATCCATCCAGAATCTGATAGATTATCTTGCTTTCCTACCCTGTGGATATATCTTTCCCATTACTTGACTCATATCTAGATTCTTCCACAATTTCTCACCCATGCATGAGTCTCTAATTTCAAAAGGAACTCAGAAACAATTTTGGATGTAGTTAGGAACCAGTGATCTCTTTAGTCTTCTTAAGGCATCCATTGAGCATAGACATGTGATAGACAACAGCTCTTGTATGCAGAGTTAATGCAATACTTAGTTTCTTTCACTGACCTCTCCAACTTGCTTATTGTCCTTCCAGAGTTCAGACAAGTTGCTTCCCTTTGCTGGGACAATTAATCTTAGCTTCCCCAATGAGTGGCCAGGTTACGGAATTAAAATTAAAATAGGGACTTGTCAGGAACTTGTCAGTTTGTGGATGATTAAGAGTTGATCCCAGGCCCTGTGCTCTGTGTGGGTGTGAGTGTGAGTGTGCCCCTGTGTGTCTGTGTTTTAATTGCCACAAGCTGATTCGTTTAGAGTACAATCCTACAATTGGAAGAGACGTGGGACTGTTTAGATTCCTCCTTTCCCTCCCCCAATTCTTCCTGGCACTGGAAAACCCCAAAGGGAGCATGATAGAATCAGTTGGGAAGGGGCACCCTAAACCCAGGGAGAATTCTTGGCAAAACTAATATTTCCACCTTCTAGTGCAAGGAAAGTGAAGAAGAATGAAAATTCTCCATCTTCATTTCTGCCTTTTGAGGCTACAACAAACAGGATCTGATATGTCAGAATACTTCAGCTAAGCACCAGAATGAAAGATTTCCCTTTTAAGAAAGGCTTAAAATAGAACAAAGAAAGGTACTTTTAAAAAGGTACTGGTTCTGGTGAAGTTCCTCACCATAAAACCTTTACAAGCATGGCTTGAGGGAGAAGGAGGTTTGAGTGGCAGATGATATTTTAGAGAAATAAACACTCAGCATGAGCTAAGTTGGCGACTGAATTGTTGAGGAGGAGGAGGAGGAGGAGGCATCCTGAGCAGAAAGCAAACACGGATGATAATTAATTTCTTTTTAAATGCCTCACTCTTCTGGAATGATATGTTTCAGGAAGATGTGAGAGATGCAGCTTTAGCATGAATTGCTGGATCACAGTTCAGAGCAACAAAGGAAGGCAGGGGAGGGAGAAAGGAAGATACAGCTAAAATGTTGAACAGTAGAGTGTGGGAAATAACCAAATAAACGGTGGGAGTATTAAGAAGGAAGCACATAGTAAAGGCAATGTGATTCTGTGGGAATGCCTCCAGGGAATATCTGAGAAAAGCAGGAGTCATTTGAAACCACCCAGATATTTTAAATGACATCACATCACCTAACATGCTGTATCATTGCCCATGCTGTCTGGAGCTGTTAGGGTTGCAGACCAAAAACATATGAAAGATCCACAAATTTCCCAGCTGCGTTCACAGTGAAAATGAGACAACACGATTCTTTAGTTCAGGCTTTAAAAGTCAACAGCAGCCAAGAACTTGCCCCCTACCCCCAAAAGTGGAAAGTCGACGCAACCTTCATAACTGAAAAGCAAGTGAAATGGTTGTGATTGTGGTTGTTACACAGAAGACTGTTTTCAAGTGTGCATCCCTTGAGAAGTAGAGGTCAGCAGTTAAGTTGCAAATAGGATCTGCTCCTTGGAAACTTCTGAGAAGTATAGCTTTTGGTTCTCGGTGTGCATATGCAAACTCTTTGGGGAGATAGAGATCAAAGCAAGAGACTGAGGGGACAGCCAACATTCAGGAGAGAATGAGGACCATAGAAGCACCAGCAGATACCCAATCTCATAATTAACTAGAGCACAGCATCACATAGTCACCTGAAACATTCTTACATATATTCCCCCTGAACTGGTTGATTCTGTGAGATACTGAAGACAGAGTCATTGCAAGCTATTTTACTAGTTGAGTTCCTTCAAGCTTCCTGTTCATAACCTGAGGAATTTACCGACAGGTTTATCTGCAAGCAAATATATATTTAAGCCCTCTGTCCCTGGCTGTAAAAATGCAGGGAATTAACTCTGTCATCCTTATGTGATATCTAAAACCTGCTGCTTGAATCATCTGCTTCAGTTTACTTAATGACTGGGGTTGGCCCCCTGTGAAGTTATGACTTAGCCACTGACACTGTCCAAATGGAAGAAATCAAGACAATTTTAAGAAGAAATAAAGAAATTAACAGATGATTCAGATTTTTTCCCCCTCAGACAAGATTATCTCACTCCCTAAGCAAGAATGAAAGTGTTTTTTTAAAAAATTCAGGTGGGTGATTTTTTTAAAAATAGGAATCTATTAATTGGGGTGGATTTCATCTGAAACATGATAGAAGGAATTTCAGATACTCATTGATAGATAGATAGATAGATAGATAGATAGATAGATAGATAGATAGA